ACCACGCGTCACGATAAATCCAGAGACACGAGAAGGATTAGAGAAGTTCCTAGGCATTCACCCCAATTCCTTCTGAGCTAGGAGGGGCGTGAGCCGTCCGGAGACACAACGAGCTCAGAAGAGATTGTCGACAATAAAAGAGGGAGGGGGGAAATTTTTACACAAACCTACAAGTGATGCTCAACCTACACTCCGATGCGACGACCAGTAATGTGGAGCTCTCTCCACGCAGGGACGCCCTTGGCGGCACCCCGTGTCCTCAACCCACCCCGGACGACCCACTAAGTCTTCCGCATGAGTACAGCCAGCGACACCCGCTCTCTTATTTATAGGCCCGTAGTGTCCCGCACCAATCTGTCGTAGACAATCTTTGTTGTGTCTGCAAACGACGGGTAAGGAATATATGTTTTGCAGCATGAACCGAGTGCCTCGTGACATTACCATTAAACCAACTGAGAGTGCCGCCAGAAGGAGCCAGAGCTCAAGATGGTGTTATTGGCAGGGGCCTACTTCGTGGACCAATGTAGATGTGGTCTGTTCCAAGGACGATGGCGATGAGCGTCTGTCGAAGGCAACGTAAACATTCAGGCTCGTGCAATTGGGGACGGCATACGACTAAGCTCGTGCAAGCCCGGTTGTTTGGTGTCCCCAATACTGAGAGAACTCGACAAGATGATTGAAGAGGTTAGGGTTGACGCGGAGTGACCGAGTGGGAGTTTGCTAGAGGAGGTTCTGTGGGATAGCGTATCCGATGTGGCGAGAGCATGTTCAAAAGGTCAAGCATAGAAACCCAGACGACTTTATTGGCAGGTTGGTTGACCGCTTCGATCGTAGAAGGAAGTCTGAAAGGCAAGGGGAGAATTCGGTAAGCTGCAGCGACCTGAAGATCCGTACAAACTGTACGAGGAGTGTGGGATAACGTTCTACAGAGTATCCGAAGAATGCGTCGGCGTGCGGGTTGGAGGTGTATCTGGACGCGTTGTCGATGATGCAGGGCAGGCAAATAAAGTTCCGGCAGCGCGCACAGGCACCGCAGCTCGCCACTTTTACTGGCGACATCTCGGTGCCGGAGGGGCACCGATTTGCCGTCCTAGAACAAGGTTGAAGGAAGAGGAGGCAGCCACTCTTAGCAAGTGGACTCGTGACCTCCTGGCCCATGGCAAAATCGAGACATGCAGTAATCCGATGGCGATTCTGCAGCCGGTCGTGGCAGGGGATCGTGTCACCCACAAAGCGCAACCGCTTTCCCCGTTTGTAAGGATGAAACGCAAGCTCAAACAAAGAGCTCAAGATCCGCCAATTTCCGCTTTGTCGATAGTGCTGTAGGTGACTGCCTGACCGTGGCTAGAATTCCCTTAATGCGAGATCAACGAAGTTTTACGCGTTCGAAGTGGATAATTATACTGACCAATATGCTTGCGTGCCAATGGGGACGGACGCACTTTCCTAGTTCGCTCCTACTGCCATTTTGGGCTTGTTATTGTTCGCGACAGAGGTGCCCTCCTACATATACCCGCGAACTCTAAGGAAGGGTTGGTTTCATGTATGAAGGCGTTGAAACCAACACACGATGTTGGAAGACTCCGAATGTCAAACAAATCAAGAGTTGGGATTGGAGGAGGCTGGTTAAGAGGCTGGTGACGGAATGGAGGATGCTGGTAGCGGAATTGGAGGAGGCTGGTTAAGAGGCTGGTGACGGAATGGAGGATGCTGGTAGCGGAATGGAGGAGGCTGGTGGCGGAATGGAGGAGGCTGGTGGCGGAATGGAGGAGGCTGGTGGCGGAATGGAGGAGGCTGGACCAGTCTTTGTGCGGCGCGGTAACCACTAGATTGTACCAGTTCCGCGTCATGCCCTTCGGGTCGTGCCCCTCGGGCTCATCAACGCACCAGCCACGTTTCAACGAATATCGACCAAACCCCTGTAAGTAATTCCCTTTAGGAAATGGACGTCTCCTCTATGATGTTATCGCTGTCTACGGTAACTCGTGGCCGTGACTACATTAGTAATTCCGAGTAGGCACTTGCGAGAACACGGCCGCCTTTGAACACACAGCACACAATCCAAACAAACCAACTGGACCTCCGCCGTTGGTTACCGAGGATCCGAGCTGTGCCCACGCAATCTTCCGCATAGTTGACGTAGGATTAAGTGTTGTGTACAATTTGTCGACTGGCACTCACTGGCGACACAACAATAATTTTTGGGCGAAGCCGTGATTTTATTCCGCTCTGAGAGAGACGTGAGAATTACACAAAAGGGTGTAACAGCCCTTTTGTGTAATTCTCACGTCCAGCTCAATATACCTGCTGGACCAATCCTGATCGTTGGTTTCGCTTCTTTGACAAGGGCTAAAT